ATACCATGATATACCATGGTCATTTACCGTGAAATTCATTGAAATTCAACCTCGTTCCAGGTACCAGGTAAACCTCGTCCCATGGATACCTCAGTAGCCCCATGTACAGAGTCTTGAGGTTCTGCACCACGGTCCTGAACGTCAGCTATCCCCCTTGGAATTCATCCGGTGGGGCTGGGGGTGCCAAAACGTAGAGGAACCCAACCCCACCACAGAATGGTTGGAAGCTCCCTGCAAAATGGTTTTGAAATGTATTTTTGAGGAAAAACAATCAAAAACCATATGGTAGCAAATATGTTTAAAACCATTTTGTGGAGCTATCTTCAAATTTCCAGGAATTTTCAAAACCATTGTGTGAGGCTCAATCATCATTGAATCAATGAGGTAGCAGTTTCAAAAAAAAACTCAAAACCATTTTGTAGATTAGTTCGTTGTTTTCAGCAACAAATCAACACCATTTTGTAAAGCCCACCCCCATCCGTGGCCCGATCCAGAAATATCTTCAAAACCATTTTATAGTGTTCCTAAAAGTTCTTCAGGTGTTGTTTCATTTTTTTGGAAATCAGCACTGATCCACCCAAAAAGTCTACAGTTTGGTTTTGTTTTGTTTTTTTTTTTTACACGTGAATCAACATTTTTCGGAAACCAAGGGACCAAGGTCACGAAAGATTGGTTTTGGAATTTTCTGGGAAATCAGCACTGATCAGCCATGAACAACAAAAAAAACTACAGGTTGGTTTTTAAGTTTTCTTGGAAATCAGCACTTGGCACCTTGAGCAAACCAAATCACTACAAATTGTTGTTTTAAAGTTTTCTCGGAAACTTACACCAAGCCCCCGACAAAGTCTACAGTTTGGTTTTGATTTTTTGGCCAAAACTGAATGAGCACTTTTCAAAAACCAAGGTCACTACAGATTGGTGCAACCAACATTTTTTGATCTATATACATTATGGACCCAACCCCTTCAAAATAGCTAAAGAAATGCCTATTAATATATATATATATATCGGGAGTTAACCCCAACAATAACGTAGAGGAAATTCCAAGGGATATTGTCAGCTATCAACTGGAAAGGTCCAGTTGACACAGATCAACACAGCCAGATTTGGTGCCTGGGACAGGTAACATCCCCTACTGAGAACCCTTGTCCTTGACGTGCCATCTGTCAGACCATTTTCAGTCACCACTGCCATGGCTGGCAGCGGGAGGGCACCCAAGAAAGTTTATCATAAAGGAGTTCCAACCATGATAGAATACTCATAGCCTGCTTGACATTGATTCAGTTTTCCGATTTCGATGTCGATGTTGGGATCATGACATTTGTGTCCTTCCCTGCATGTCTCCATGACTGGGCTTTGCTTCCCGCAACAAGGACGAGTTGGCTAGGGACAGTTCTCTGTCTTCAGCATTGCTGCATCGGAAGACATGCAACCCAGTAGACCTGTGAACTAAAACACCCATCCTTGGGATTGTGATGAGCAATCTCCGGCCTCGAGAAATTGAAAGATATTGATTTTCAATGAAGTACACCATTGATTTATGACTATCCGCATTTGCCGCTCCGATCCCACATCTTTTGCAGCATCACAGCGCGCGTCAAATGGGGCGTTGACCGCACGTGTCGCTAAGCACGTGTCGCTACACTCAGCCACCCACCTCCGCATTACCCGCATCACCACATGCATAATGTGCATGGCCAATCTTAGATACCATTGCACATCATTTTGTGTTTTACTGTGTGGTATCCTCCACTAATTAAACTAACATAGATGTGGAAAAGCCACCAATTGTAGAATCATTCTCCAAACGGGAAACCATGGGTTTTCATATGTTTTCCACATCTATCTTAGTTTACCCTAGGGTACGAGTAGTTGAAAGTACAAGACATAAAACATCCATGGTCGACCAAGTAAGCGAATGTGCATGCAGAATAGCCTCTGGTAAACACGTCTGCGGGGGAAATCCACGCAAAGCCATTGTACTTGGATATCAATCAGCCATTTTCGCCTTTTTTGTTCCCAGGAATGGGATTTGAATCGGCTATCCCATAAGCCAGTAGTAATAGGTAGCAATATTAATATCATACTTGACTTAGGTAGGCTCTTGCAGGTTTCAAAGTCTCACACAGCGGGTACAGAGCGGTAGCGAATTCGCTAATGAGCCAAGCTCAAAACATTCGTTTTCTGCAGGCTGCCAGATCCGCAAGCGTGCAGCTGGGCACCATCCAAATACCAAGCACATGAGGAAATACATCTTGGCGTTGGAAAAGAGATGCGCTTAGAGCTTCCTATTTGGGATGTGCCCATTTGACATCATTTGACCATTTGTCACTATTTGTCGCATTGCGTCATTACGTCTGTACATTCGTTCGCTACTGCCTCCAGCCACACCACAGCACCAGGGGAGTCAGTGAGTGGCAAAATCATGGGCTTGCTTCTGTAGTACTTACACTCCTCAACTTAAATTAAGGGTGTGCAAATTCCAGCAATGATATCGGATTGCGAGGCATTTGTTTGTAGTTATAGGCATATTTCGGGTGAGGTAGTTTGGGATAGCGGATAGAGTGCTCCATTACTACATCTGCTCGTTGCAAACATATCGGTGCCCATGGAAAGGCTGAAAAGGTCCGTCAAATATTGACATATATCAGAATTCCCATATCTTGTTCAATTCAAGGGAAAGTAAGAAATTCAAAAACCTCTGACGGCAAAAAACAATTCTTTCCCATAAATTACCTTCAAAAATCTATCCATTGAAGCACGGCGCACATTTCAGAATGAAGCCATAGCTCTAACGGAAGGCCTTCAATAATCCGCCAGTGGCAAACCCGATGCCATACCCGAACTTTGGAGGGTGCCCATAATTTATGGTAAAAGTGGGGATGGTTTATGGTTTTTGAGTTTACCGCCAAAAAATCGGCATCATTGCATCATTTGGAAAGCCCAGCCGTGGCATGTCACGCTACTCTCTCTCCATCGCCATCTCAGGACATGTCACGCTACTGACATCAGACTTTTTGCCTCGGTGATGGCGCATGATGGCGCCATGATTTCCGGGCTACTACATATGGAGCCACATAAATGGTCATGTACTACAGGTATATGTATAGTGATTTAGTAGCAAACCATCCATTTCGGATCATTTTAAGGCAATATTTAGTTGATGTTGACCTTCTTGACCCCCACTAAGATCAAAAGGGCTGTCACATCTGTCACCAAGAGTTGGGCAAATTAATAGGTTCCACGGTGTCAGCAGAGCGAGAGCTGGGCACCAAAGCTTTACCTGCCGAGGTTTACGAATTCGTGGGGGGTATCCCAAATGGCCCAAATCCTCCAAGTCAACGATTTTAGCATTGACACCCAGTGAGATTTCAGCACACCACGTATCTTGGATCTTCTTCCGAGGTTCATAACTAAAGGACATTGTATATAACATATTATCATTACTATAAACTTAAGCGTCAGCATTCTTCAGCAAATCCAAGCTGTGGCCGTTGTACACTGGTCTCTTGTTTTGAAGAAGCTGGTGATGGCTTACTCTTCTGCAATACCCTCAAGTTCCTGATCACGGGGCTTGGTGCGACACATTGGTCGGCCAAACGTAAGGATGTTGACCTAGCACAAACATAACTCCCGGATTCGCCGGGGATCTGAAAGAGGGTGGGACGTCGGGAGAAGCGTTGCTGCTGATCCTCCGGGGGAAGGTTGGTCACAATCGCTGGCCCGAATCTTCTCAAGGTGGGCATCCCCTCGATATTGGACACCTCTGACTGGCGCTGAAATCCAGGAAGCCAGTGGCACTGGACTCAGAAGTTGGTTGAGCTCTAGGATCAACTTCTGGAAGGCTCTGTTCCGGGTCCTCCTCCAAAAAATTAGGCACATTAGGCTCATCTCTCCATTTCTATGGTTCAAAAATGCTTACAACAAATACAGTATTTGAAATCACCAGCCAGTAACAAACAGTAGTCAGAAGAAGCTCTGGTGGGAGAACCATCTCCACCGCCAGGAAGTGTGTCAGAAAGGTCCATTGAAGCTGCACCTCGTGCCCCTTGCAGTGACAGCCCCTTGCAGTGACACTCGCAAGCCTCGGGGCAAGCCTGCCGCAACTCCATGCGGGGCGCTTCTTGAGCCAGAAACTCCTGGAACCTGTCGCAGCTGCATTTCAAAACACGTTGCAAACAAGTGGTATCATCCACAGTGGTCATCGTGCGACGGTAACAACATCATCACAGACTCCCCGCAGGGATGGGCCGAAAGCCATGAAAGCCCAACATCAACGCGGATGCATCACCAGAATCCAGTTTGGCTGCCATGCTGGACCGGATTTGGTGCACACAAAAAACATGACTGCACCAAAAGACGCATTGGTAGCAAAGGGTGCAAAGACAACAAAGGTGTAATAAATTCCATTGACATGCTGATTGACACGCGTAGAAAGACAAGATCACCTTCAAGTCAATGCAGCTGTGACTTTGTTCCCTGTGCCCAAAGGCTAGGAGAACAAAACCAATCAGGTCGCCCAAGTCGCCGCGATTCGACATGGCCCTCAGGTTACTGTACGCCATAGGTCGGTGAAAGAGCCAAACCAGCTGACAAATCTCGGAAACTGTTGGTTCATTGAAAGGACATCAACAAATTTGGGAAGGGCCCATCGCTTACAACACGTTTGTACAAAAATCATGTATGGATATGTATGGCAGGGGGTATCGCATCGCTTAAAGGAAAATGATGGTATGACATAACCTTCAGAGAGGATATCGCTATTTGGGAAGGTCCCATCGAACTTGCCTCATGGTTGCCATTGTACAATTTCCGAATAATGTCCGTCCCCAAAAAATGTGCCGGAGTGTTGGCGGTTGCTCAGCTATGATGCTATGATCAGCACGTCATTTTTGTCACGTTTGGCCCGCGACTCTGCTGTGGAAACGCGTAGCCGAAGCGATTTGAGGATGCGTCTGAAGCATAGCTGGTGTGAGATTGAAACATGGTGATGTTTCATCCCGTTCTGAGTGATAATCAGTGGTGTATATATATATACTACTCCAATAATCTGGCATAGCCATGAGAACAAAAGACCATTGTTAAATAGGTAAGTCAATGTAAGTCATCTACAAAGGTGGCATGGAAACCATGGCTATGTTGGTTGCCAGAGGGTAGCTGCGTAGCTCAATCACCATTCGCCGTCAGAGATTGCCAGCACACGCCTGCGAGGCCATCCCCAGGGTTGCTGCTGAGTTACCCTCCTATTGCTGGAAGTGGAGTTCCCCTCCAGTCAACGAACAGTAAACGCTATGGAAAACGCTCCCTTTACGTTGAGATCATCCCACGCAGGATTCACCGGTAGGATTGGGCAATCACAATGAGCAAAAAACACGAAACTATGTGTCTATGTGCTGTAGAAAAATGCACCCTGGTGGTAAGTGTAGAGATGGTTCTATTATGAACTGGGTTTGCTATTGTTGAATTGAAACTACCTGCAGCTCGTCCCATGTTTTTCTCCTTTCAATTCCCTTTTTAGACTGTATTGGCAGGTTTCTGCATCTTTTTGCTGGTTTATTTTGATACCACCAAGGTACTGGTAATGGGCAATGGTAGCACTTACTGAATTGACATATGTACACATTTATCCTTTAAATTCTTGACGATATCATATTCACATACATATATGCACATTGACGCATAGATACATAGAGATACTAATCCCCTCCTCGTAATATTCAGCACCCCTAGTTTGTCCCAAGTATACGCGTGACTAAACCATGTCGTTTCTTTTAAAGTGATACGTTTGAATATAAAACATAGATATTAAAACTATTGATGGTGTTGACTTATAATTTGAATATAACATCAAAATACATCATGGTCTTAGCTATTACTGATAGTGAGTCCCATTCGACGGATCCCGCCTCCATCAACGCCGCACGCATCGCGGGAGTGCACCAGCGCGAGCAGGACACGATGCCACCAGCCACTCGGAACTTTCCTCACCGCGGCGACTGTGGCGTGGATACATTGGAGAAAAATGAAAGCTGCACCGTATCCCCTTTAAGTCTTCCAAAGGTTTCGGCAGATTGTTGATTCATAAACTTAAAGTTAGAATCTTCATCATTTTTTTACAGTATTTTTTAAAACATGTCCAATATCCCTATGGTTTCCAAGTTTCTGGCTCATTTCAACCAAGGAACTCCCTGGAAAGGTGACCTGCAGGGCCAATCGAAAACAACAATGTGGCTGCAAACCAAACAATCCAAACAGCTGGGACTGATACAACAGAGCACCCAAACAACAGGCAATCAAATATCATGATTCCTTGGACCTGGTTCACAGTCACAGAATTGGTGTGAGGGGAATGGTGCAGGTATTTGCTGTTATTATATAGATGTTATTAGTATGTCATTTCCTGCAAGGGCTCCTTCTTGTCAATCCATCGATCACCAAATCATGAGCAAAAGCAGTTCTAAAATTCATATCAGCAAAGCGTTTAACGTAGCATCCAAAATGCTGAGATATAATATTACATAAAACTATATCTGGTTGGTGGTTTCAACCCTCTGAAAAATATGAAAGTCAATTGGGGTTACATGGGCAAAAATATATCCCAATATATCGAAAAATAAATGTTCCAAACCACCACCCAGGAAATATGAATCTAATCCATATTTAAGCCATATATTATCCTAATCCATAGATAATCCATATAACCCATATCATATAATCATCATCCATAATCATATTATATGGGTTATATGATTTATATCTATGGATTAGGATAATATATGGTTATATATATATGGGTAAATTATAATATTTCACTAATCTGAAATAAGGCCATTTTGGGATGATTTCCCTTACTAACCATGATTTCCAGGGCTCGGTCGCAGTGAGGTCGTTATAATTTACCCAGATATATATATATATATATATAATTATATATATATACCCTCTGGTAATTTAACATAGCTATTGAAAATCACCATTTATAGTGGATTTTCCCATTAAAAGTTGTGATTTTCCATAGTTTTTTGTATGTTTACCAGAGGGTAATGGATTATAATGGCCATAAAATCCCAGTAAAGCCCCGCATTTTTGATGACAGGTCCTCTAGGTCGGCCTCCTGGCCCTCGGCATCCGTCACGCGGGCCGCTCCCCCGGACTCCGCGACACAAATGACCCCACCTGAGGTCTCTGGGTCAACGGGGGTGGAGAAATCTTGAACCACTGGGACAGGATTTACAGTGTAAACATATAGTAACCATATGTAAAAATATGAAAAACATATGAAAAATGAGGTTGATCACTTTTTCAGTGGGATTTGTTTCTTCTATCTTTTTGATTCTTGAGGGTTAGTATTGTATGCACTATATTGGCGAACAATGGTGAACCATCAACCATTTGGATGTTAAAAAAACCTTATATGTCATGTAGCCATCAACAAGCAGGGACCTAGAATTTAGCATGACTTAACTGTCTGAAAATCAAACATGGCCATAAAATTCCCCATTTTTCCATGACAGAACAAAAGATGGCCATGTCCAACGGGTATTCTCCTGTGCCAAATGGAGTTGCTAGAGGGCGACTTGATTCTGGCCAAAGTGAAAAAGGTGGTTTGGGGGTGGCCCCAGCAGTTTTCCACAAGTACTGGATCAACGGATAAACTGCAATAAACTGACCTGGAAAGTTCATCTGTTTTGGGATTGTTACTTATCATTCCAGTGACGTAGAGTCAGCGGTGAAGTTGTGATGAAATTTCTCCAGCTGCTGAACTTCATCAAGATGTGACTCTTTGGGCGTGCTCCAACATTTCGTTCACTGGCCTCATGATGCCTCATGATGCTTCATATATCTTCATATCAGCAAATATTGCTAGTAGTATTTCACGAAAGAAAACTATGCGTTTTTTTTGGGGGGATGATTCCCTCTACTCATCATCGTCTATACTAGTAATAATATTATAATATAGTATTGATATTGCTGTAATTAGTCACATTTCGAGCTCATGGAGTCCGTCCCAGCCGCAGGCGTGGTCCCACGTTTTCAACTCCTTCTCATACTGCACCTTCGAGCGACAGCACGGGTGAGTGTGACCGTGCCAGTCCAATCCTTTTGGGAAATCTCGAACTTTTTTTGCTGCGTGAATGATGCTAATGATCGCTACTGGGAGTTCCCGGCAAGAATGATGATATATAGTCATAGTGATACTCAATGACTCAATGAAACAGAAATAAGTATGCAAGTATAACCCCAGAAGAAAGAAATAAGTATGCAAGTGTAACATTTATCAAGTATGGCCAGTATGGCCCGCTATCACCGTGGTTGTCTGAAAATTGAATATACAGCGGTATTACCATGTATTGCGCCAGATTTGGGGTAAAAATGACATGATATAGCTCGATGTGGAGTTTACCCAGCATTTGTAGATCATGTTTGAAAGGGGAAACCCTTAGTTTTCCACATCTATTAGTCTATATTGGTTCACTCCAGGGCTCCAGGGTAACATTTATTGTGGAAACTGCGTAACTGCTTGGCACAGGGCGGCCAGGGCGCATAGCCGCAATGGCTCCCTGTGGCCACGGCGAAGTACTTCACCATCGAACCGCAACACCTTGGGTGACACAATGGGACATCAATGGGACATCAATGAGATGAATGGTCTTAAGAGGGATTTTATACAGGGTTTAATACGGATAATATATATATACCTATACATATATATATGATTATATATGTATATATGTATATGTACCAAGCAACAATGGGGATGATTTGGGATATAACTATAACCTCGGGTAGAGTAAATTAACTTAGCTTTGGAAAGTCATAGAAAATCCAGTCAAGATGTTGAATAGGCAAATCATCTATGAATGCACTTTCCATGGCTGTGTGAAATCAGGATGTGAAATAGATTATTTTTTATATTTGTTCATATCACAAGATACGTTTCACGTGCACTTTTTTGTATCTTCTCGGGGGTTGATACAAACAAAAAAAACTATAAGGGAAAACTGATGGGCAAACCAGTGAGTTGTTTTGTCGACATGTTTCACCATCAAGTAGCAATCAATTGATTTCCCTTCATCATTGCTTTTGGTTAAGGCTGGGCACCAAATGGTGAATGTAAGCAACTCAGCTTTTGTTCTCTTTTTATGATGTGACCAATTGCATAACAATGTTGTGATTGGTTTGAAGCAAATAGCTTTACCAACAGCCAAGGTGATATGCAACCAACCACTGATTGGCAAACGGTCTCTTTTTGATGGTTGAGCCACAACAAGTGTTCTGACAATAAACGGTGTACTGTATACTGCCAACCCCTCAAATAAAACGTTGTTTTATTTATTGGTAGAGGAGGCACAGCTCCGATCCATCAGCCCGAGGGCCGAAAGGCCTGGCTGTGGCAGGCATCTTTGGCAGAAAAGTGTAGAGAATTGACAAACCTCCTGTGGAACTGGCCAAGATTTCTTCTAATTCAAATCAATTTCTAACCATCTCCTGCGCACATGACCGCATGCTCAAACTGTCCGATCCGAATGTGTCAGTTCTGTCCTCTGATTTGGACATTAAATATTCTCTTCGGCTGGCTCCCCAATCAATTGAATCATATTGAATCCTTGCTTGGCTTAGCTGTTAAAATAGCGTACGATCTTCCGAACAAATAGTGGGCTACAAGAGGTGTCTCCATAACATGACCAAACTTTGCCTATTTTCAAACCATTTACCCAGGTCAACCCGGTGCAATTGTTGGTAAATATCCTGTGTTGTGCAATTGTTGGTTTCGCAGTTGCATCCCCACTCTCACTGGTTTCAAAAAGAACAACAGTTCACCAAGGCTCACGTCTCACGAAAATAGATCCAAACTTGTACTTTTTACTGAGTCCATCAACCATAGCTTGGACTTGAGGGACCAACAAATAATTCACAACAATCCAGTTGTCAATGGATTGGAAGGAAAATCAACAGGAACCCCCGTATTTCATCGAAGAAAGCCATGGTTTCATGCAGGTCTTCCCTTAAACCATGGCGGACCTGCACGCGTCGCGGGTGCTCTGCGGGGACAGCAGCCAAGGTGGGAAGTCGACACCTGGAACGAACTTCGAAGCTGTGAACCTTCTGCAACTCATGACCTCCTTGCAACGTCAACATGAAATTTCCGCCACCCAAGGACTTGGAAATTGAATGAAAATGAATTGTTAACTACTGTTAATTGTTAATTCTCCTCAAAGTTTGGCAACTGGAGACCTGTAACCACCTCAGCATATGTTTATAGGCAACAACTGCCAAGTGCAAACTGTGCGCTCCAAAATCGGAGCGAAGCATCGCAACAACATCATGTTCCATTCAAAAATTGTAGGCAAAGTTCGGACATGTTCACACACCTTTCCATATAATCTGGGTAAATTATAATATTTCACTATATAACCTGAATCTTGCGGCCATTTGGGGATGATTTCCCTACTAACCATGATTCCAGGGCTCGGTCGCAGTGAGGTTGTGATCAAATTTACCCAGATCTATGGATTATCTATGGATTATCCCCATGGGTATATGGATTATCTATGGATTATGATAATGATAATATATGGATTAACTATAATGTTCCTACATATTGATTTCTTCCAAGGCCACTAAAACACACCTCACTGCCCACAAAAACCGCCTTCTTTGGGTGCCGCAGCATCCGTAGGATCCGTAGGATCCGTAGGCAGCGTGAAGTCTGGCTTGGAAAACCGTGATTTTCGCCCAAAGTCTTGGGATTCACATGGGTTGGAAAATCCTTCCATATCGGAAAACCCATTGGAAAACATAAGATTGATGACTGTACATTTTATAAAATACATATCCATTCATTTGAAATGAAAAAAGATTTACATGTTGAACACCCATCCACTTAAAGTAAGAAAACTGGGACTTGCGTCGTGCAACCCCTATGAATTTGTGAGATTATGTTTGAAGTATCTAAAGTCTAAGCAGGGGATTCAAAGTCTTCTACATTTGGAGTATTTAAAGGATTATACTGATACTGTTATACCAATGTTTGCTGGCTAACTACAAATAAGATCATTGAAATTCTACATTTATCGCTGGTTATATCAGCAGTTTTGCGTATTTCATGGTGGTTAAACCACGTTATACACCCCATGTTCGATGGTGTTTTTGGCCACCAGTCTACATGGCCTACAAGATGGCCCCCCAAGTTATAAGTTGGTTTAATAAACTGTAAACCCCACTAACTATAATAGTTATATCATGTTATATCCACCATTAAACCCTAGTTAACCAAGTACTATAATGGCTATAATAGCTATAGTTAATATCGCCCATAAACCCTACCAAGTTACAAGTCGACTCCCTTGTAGAGTCCAGGCCCTCGCGCCTTGTTCCGCCCAGTCTGGCTTCACAACTTTGAAGTCGAGTGGTCCGCTGCCAGCGGCGGGCCACCAACGTAAGCCCTGGCCCTTCACCTTGATGAAATCATGGAGTGATGGAAGGGAAAGCGCTAGGAAAGCATGGTTTTTCCCGTGATTTTTTGGGCTTTCCTGCAAATTTCCCGACCAAATTCAATCTTAGTAAATTAGTAAGTCTCAGACCCTCCAAAATACTTGTAAAAAATGGTGAAATTTCAAAAGTAATGAAAATATGAAATATAAGCTATTTTTTCTATAGGTACTTGATTTGTTTTGATGGTCTTTTAGTGCATTTGGTTTAGCATCCACGTTGTCAAATGGCCTTTGACACTTTGACATTGTTTGACCTATGCTCGTCAGATGAAGCGAGTCTCCTGTGGTGGCAGGGTGTCCTCGAAGTCGACATGGCTATGGGGTACCACAAAATTGTTTTTTTTGAGGGATAAACATAGAGGCCGCTTTGGTATACTACTCAGATCATTTTAGATCTATGTAGTATCACCTACCATCATCTACCTAATCACCTAATCGTAGTATTTTTTAGGGGGCACACTCTATTTATGAAGCAACCAGTGGGAGTTTAAGACATCTGTATACATGTTGCTTTCACTCATCCAGTTTGGTCAGAAACAACATATATACTCTAAATCGTCAGAGCCATACCTTTCCCGCTGTGATCTTCCAGTGGTTGTTCTTATCGCTCATCTGGTTGTTCGGGGTCATCCAGCAATCATCTGCTGTGGGGAGATGTTTGAATGATAGACTCACACCTTGCATGAGACACAAAAGGCCATCAAGGTAATCATTGGTAATGACGCTACGGAAACTCTACAGGAAACTCCCTGTGTTTTTTGCAGTGAAGATGCGTGTGTCTTGAAGTGGGACAAATATCATTTTTTTACCATCATGTGCACCATTGAAAGTTCAATAAAAACATATAAAACCATAAACCTATCTAAAATTCATTGAGTGGCAAAATAAATATAGTAAATGGCTATGATAGGTTTCGGGACACACCATGACAACCCAGGGGCTTTCTAAAAACATCTTCCCCCATAGACTCTATCCGTGCTGCCTCCGAGTAGCTGCGATCATGATGGGTGGCGTCGACTGAACCTCCGACGAGTTCGCAACATCACAGCAGTATGTGCCAGAATAAGATCTGGTTGGTGGTTTTAACCCCTCGGAAAAATATTAGTCAATGGGAAGGATTATCCCATATATTATGGAAAATAAAAAATGTTTGAAACCACCAACCAGAGATAATATTGATATAATCATGCCATAATAATATAATAAAATGTTGGAATAGTCAGAAATGATGATACGAGTAGTGGTATATACCATTTTATACTCTAGGATATACCTATTATCATATATATATATACAAATAAGATGATAATGGTAGTAAAATAATAATGGCATTATATTAATAATATGCCAGAATAAATATCAATATGTTAATGATAATTAAGAATTATATCATTGGCAAATTGGCATTATTAAAATAATCATAATAATTACATGTTAGTAACAGTGCGAATATTCATCATTAATTAATCATATAGCTATAGCTAATCATGAAAATGCATGTTATATAATATAGTAATAGTGACACAATTCAATTGACCATCAACAATTGCCAATATAGTAAATACATATTCTTTCAAAGAACAAGATAATCACACCAGAATAATAATGGCATAATAAACAATCAACAAAAATGGATTATAACAGTGGGAGTAAACATGGTATATGTGGTATGGTCATCCATCCTATATCTAATGGGACACCCTACAATCAGTATATAAATCTTATAGAAATGGATTGATTACCATCCCCCAATAGTGGTGTTTAATTCCACTCTGGACCATGGCACATATGGCGTCTGGGGCAAGGCCTATGAACACCTCTTCCAGGGAGACCTGACCCCACGAAATCCAAGCGGCATTGGGGTTGCCTGGCGGAAGCGAATTGGTCCAGCTCTACATGGTCCAGCTTGGAGCCATTGGAGCGAAAATCTGAAAAAAAAACGACTTGGGGAAACGACACATGCAGCAGTTACCCTCTGGTAAACTAACAGAAAACTATGGAAAATCACCATTGTTAATGGGTAAATCATGGTAAATCCATTATAAATGTACCAGAGGGTAATGAATGTGAAACGATCTTGACCCTAAGTGTTGGGGTAAACCGCCCATGGAAACCAAACTCTGCTGGTGAGGCGGGTATTCCCATGTCTTCCCTATGAGTCCGCTCAGACTGAAGCCTAAGCTCCTTCCACTCCCAATTTTGCGCATGCGAACGCGGACCATTCTCAGATGAGTGAATTCTTTAACGTTCTTCGTTGAGAAAAACTTGAAAAACATGACATAGATACCGAACTTGGCTCAATCTTGACGGAATCTCCACTGCGAATCATTCATGTGCATTTTTGTTAGGTCAAACATGAGGTCGCCCTCAACTCATCCGGAGTCGCTGCAAAACCCACTGCTTCCAATCATGGCTAGCCGACAACATCCACCGAGATCCACTGAGTTCATACCCTCTGGTAAACGTTTACATAGCTATGGAAAATCACTAGTTTTAATGAGTAAATCCACTATTTCTATGGCAATTTTCAATAGCTATGTTACCAGAGGGTATCTTAAATTCATCCATTCAATCCATTCACCAAGCGCACTTAGTCACTAAGTGGGATCGCCAAGTCACCCATGACTCCAATCAGGGGAACCCCGTCAGCCAGCAGCGACAGTCCGATGACATAGCCTGTCACGGCATATCGGATGGTCATTGGGGATCGGATCACCATCCCCCCAAAAAAAAACCATTTATAATGGCTTACCCTCTGGTAATTTAACATAGCTATTGAAAATGGCCATTTATAGTGAGTTTTCCCATTAAAAATGGTGATTTTCCATAGTTATGTTAGTTTACCAGAGGGTAAAGATGCCTGAAGCCAACGTTGAAACATGTTGAAACCAACGCATCCAAACAGTAAATTTACCCTCCAGGAAATTAACATAGACTCTGGTAGATAGGGGTTGGAAGATTAGTTTCCACTAAACACGGGTTATTTTCAGGGTCTATGTTTACTTACCAGCGGGTATATATGGGGTTTTCATTGGTTGTTCTTTTTCAATGGCTCCAAATCCTGAGGTAGAATCGGTGATCTCAGCTGTTGGGAGGTCTGATCCAACTTCGATCATAGAGAAGTGCTTTGAACAATTGGTTCAAAGAATCGAGTACATAAGTAAACCCTACATTGTATCACCTCATGATCACTTCAAACGTGCCCCCGCAACGAGATGAAACCCGCTGGACTAGAGAACAGTGAGATTCAACATATAGCTTATGATTCAGCATTTGGCCTTTGGCCAACAATTTTGTTCATGTTCAGTACCAAAAGCGCATGTCAAAGATTAAAAAATGGTATGGTGTAAAAAAAAAAAGGTATGGCGTCAACAAACAGTTTGCTTTATCACCAAATTCTGTGGTACAACAAAGAATCAAGTCACCCTCTGGTTGTTGAACACAGCTATTGAAAATCCCCCTATATATGGAGGTTTGAATGGGAACATCATCTATACATGCTCCCATCAATCTCCCATGAATATGCCATTCGATCACTATAAAAAAAACGAATAAATATCATTCTTAAATCCCATGAATATGCCATTCGATCACTATTAAAAAAAAAAAAACGATTAAATATCATTCTTAAATCCCATGAAAAATCACTATATAATTATATAATTATATAAATTATATACTTATACAAGACCATTAATTCATATGATATCAGTCTTACTATCTGGTTATGACTAACATAGCCATGGAAAATCACCATGCTATTAATAGGTAGACCATCTATAAATGGGCCATCTATACCATGGCTATGTTAGTCATAACCAGAGGGTAAACCACACCTTGACCCGTCACGAAGCCCTTGGTGCCGTCGATGGGGTCCAGCACCTGGCGAAGACAATTGGTAGCCTCCAAGAAAAAGATCAGAACTGAATTACCCTTTAATGGGATTTAATGGGATTTTATAGTGATTCAATGGGATATTAATGGGATTTAATGGGATTTTATAGTGATTCAATGGGATATTAATGGGACTTAATGGGATTTTATAGTGATTCAATGGGATATTAATGGGATTTAATGGGATTTTATAGTGATTCAATGGGATATGAATGGGATATACCCTCTGGTTATGACTAACAGTTTGCTATTGAAAATGGTGATTTATAGTGGATTTACCCATCGAACATGGTGGATCTTTCCAGTTCGTTATGTAAACGTTTACCAGAGGGTATAACATGATCTGGCTACATCACTTCCATAGATTCGAATTCTATTTTTGGAAATTGATAAATTTTCATGAATCTTTTCCCAGTTTTTCAAGAGATTCCCCAAGACCTCAAACAACTTTGGCTTCTTCACATCTCGCTCCATAGGCATCCGAGGCGCCCAGACGCGCTGCTGCCCCTGGTCAGCTTCCAGGCCGGCGTCCACGCACTGCAGAAACTCCTCGCGGCTGATGCTGCCTCGTCGCATTTTTTGTGCATCCTGTAGGTGGCCTAGATTCGCTAGATCCCGAAGTGGGGAAAACCATGGAAAACCATGGAAAAGTCGGAAACACTATATGAAAATCTATGAAAACTATGAACACCTGACTATGAAAAACCATAGACTATATGATTGACATAGCTTGAAAGCAACTGCTGAATGGTCATATCAACTGACCTGCTCATGTTTGATGACAATGATGACATAACTATAGCAGAATCAGCCAAGAAACCACCGAAGTTCGAACAAAGTTCCTGAGTGAAAGCCATGTGGCATGGAACATGTGCCAGAAGGAACGCCACCAAAAAAAAACAGGGGATGCACATTCCAGCCATGTATAATGACCATGGGAAAAATCTGAGGAACATGTTCCATCACAGCTTGGTAGCATATCACAACGTTGAGCCCAAACCCCAAAAGCATACAATTGTCGATCATCATCGATTGTCATCATCGATCATCACCGATGGTGTTCATCATCATCATCATCATCATCAAAAATCCGCAAGGTTGATACTTCCCAACTGGGCTGGAACGATTCAATACAATTCAGCATAATTCAGCCCTTCAGACTTCAGCTCCTTGTTTTTCAGCGATGATTCGTAATATTTTGCTGTGGTTTGAACCTTCAGAGCCCTTCGGCTTTAGCCGACACGAATGCACTTCTGCTCAAACGCTCCAGCATGCAAAAATATCAAATGCACCAAAAGGAAACAACAAATGCATCTAGTGAACAGCTACTAATACACAATTCACAATTCTAATACTATTGGTGGACACCAGAAATTATTGGTGAACAGCTACTCAGCATTGGTGAATGCCAATTGCGTGTTCTGTGTAGTTCTGTCTTTCACCCAATCTTTTGCAGGACGTTCATCCGCCCACTGCGGATGCCCACAGACCACGCAGCAGTCGCAAGTCTTTGCTGCGCCAGCTGGAAATCAACTCATCACCATCACCATCCGATGTTCATGTGGGATGTGCTAATGCACTTTTAATAGTTCATTATCACTACACAGATTCAAATTACAGTATACCAATTATTAAATACAATTAAGATAACTAATATGAAACATATGGCAGTGTGTCAAAACCTTGTACCCCTGTAGTTCACATCAAAATAGCTGGTAAATGGATGTTCATTCCCCTAAAAATGGTATTAATAGGTATTGATCCATACCCATATGATTACAAAACCCGGGATTGATTTGAATACTTTGTGAATGGCTCTCGTTTTTTCGCCAAGTTTCAAGTGCCAGATTGCACAAGTCTTCATCCTCGCGCAGCTCTTTGGAATCCTCCAGATTTCGAGGAGTTGGTGATTGCGGCAAGGCACCAAACATGACTAGAGTCGGTGAACAACTAATATGACAACCAACATTAGCAAATCATAAAAATGATCACTGGTAAACTAACAGTCTGCTATGGAAAATCACCATCTTTGATAGGTAAATCGACGAACTAGAGCCGTGGTTTCAATAGCAAACTGTTAAATTACCAGAGGGTAAACATGTGCGTAAGGAGGTGGGTTTTGTTTATTTTTGTTGATATCACATGTTGATGATATGTATAGCCCTCATTACAAAGTACTGCTCGTTTGACAGAGACTCCCCTCAGAAGTTCAACCATAACTGGCCAACTAGGGCTGGGGCTGTCAATAGGTATCAATAGGTGTTCATCCAAAGTATGACCATATACACACACACCCATATATATATAATATAATTGGTTGGTGGCTTCAACCCCTCTGAAAATATGCTCGTCAGTTGGGATTCTTGTTCTATGGAGAAAAACATGTTCCAAACCACCAACCAGATAATCTGCACTGCCATGAGCTATGGCACTTTTGAATTCCCGCACTCTGCCACCAATGGCAATCTGGCCGCGGCTCTCACCGGTCAACACATCGGGTCCTCTTCGCCCATGAAGCGATCTGCCGGAAACCTCGATCGCAGGAAAGAGTTTGCTGCTTACCAGATACCCTCTGCTTATTTAACATGGCCATGGAAGCCATGGCCCATTTATAGATGGTTTACCTATAAAAATATGGTGATTTTCCATGGCTATGTTAAATAACCAGAGGGTATCCATAGCATGGTTTTTCTGTCCGTGTCATCTTACTGGTGCCTAGCTTAGCAGGGAATTTTCGGGAATGATCCATTTCATCACTAGTAATAATCATCCCAGCAACCCCCATTACCACCCATTCCCTACGTTTAGCACCAGTAAGTCATTAAGGGCTTATTAAGGGCCTATGGAAATTATGAAGGGCGTCTTGATGATCCACATGAGAAAAATCCATGATATTTCCCACACGTACCGCCCGCTATTTCCCAGGATACCCTCTGGTAAACGTTTACACCGGGGGAAAAGTAGATGGCGCAAAAAATAAAAATACATGGCGACGGTAGATGGCGCAGCCCCAAATAGCATCGCTATTTTGGGCAAATAGCGATTGCTTTCTTTTTCTCTGGATTCTCACCAAATTTTGCACCAGGGCTACTGCCGGTGGAGCTGCCATCTTCAAAATCAATGCAGCCATATATTTGAAGCAAATGTGGCTCACACACACATAGTGGTATGCACGCACACACATACACTAACCATGCACTGTAGATGGCGCAATTCACTTTGGGAGGCGTAAATGCACACAGCGAGCTGTAAATTCACCGGGAAAAACTTACCGAAACTGGGCAATCGACCCAAAAATCATATGCAACCAAACACACATACACTAACTGTGGACTGTAGGTGGTGCAATTCACTTTGGGAGGCAAAAAATGCACACAGCGAGCTGTAAATAACACGATTCAGCGGGAAAAACTTACCGAAATTGGGCATTTGACCCTAGATCATATGCACACACACACACTAACTGTGCACTGTAGATGGCGCAATTCACTTTGGGCACAAATGCACACAGCGAGCTGTAAAGGACACAGTTCATCGGGAAAAACCTGCCGAAATTGGGCAATTGACCCTAGATCATATGCACGCAGACACCTACACTAACTGTGCGCTGTAGATGGCGCAATTCACTTTGGGAAGCACAAATGTACACAGCGAGCTGTAAATAACACAGTTCATCTACTGTAGAAAAACTTATATACATGGCGCAATTCATGTTGTGAGACATAAAATACACACAGGGAGCTGTAAATAACACAGTTCACCCGGAAAAACTCACCGAAATAGGGCAATCCACCCGTAGATCATATGCGCACACTGTGCACTGTAGATGGCGCAATTCACTTTTGGAGACATAAAATACAAACAGCGAGCTACTTATTTTTTCGGCGCCATCTATTTTCACAGCGGTGTATATAGATGCAGCAAGTTACGACCCAGCAAGCCTGATGAGAACGACACAGCGCACCAAGATCCCTATTTCCACTCGCTTCCGGAACTATTTCCCTTTCCCTTTCTCCTTTCTCCTTTCCCTTCTTTCTCGTTTCCCTTTCTCCTTTCCCTTTCTCCTTTCTCCTCTTCTCCTCTTCTCCTCTTCTCCTCTTCTCCTCTTCTCCTCTTCTCCTCTTCTCCTCTTCTCCTCTTCTCCTCTTCTCCTCTTCTCCTCTTCTCCTCTCCTCCTCTTCTCCTCTTCTCCTCTTCTCCTCTTCTCCTCTTCTCCTCTTCTCCTCTTCTCCTCTTCTCCTCTTCTCCTCTTCTTCTCTTCTCCTCTTCTTCTCTTCTCCTCTTCTCCTTTCTCCTCTTCTCCTTCTCCTTTCCCTTTCTCCTTTCTCTTTTCTCCTTCCCCTTCTCCTTTCTCCTCTTCTCCTTCTCCTTTCCCTTTCTCCTTTCTCTTTTCTCCTTCCCCTTCTCCTTTCCCTGTCCCTTTCCCTGTCCTTTTCCCTTTCCCTTTCTCTTTTCCCTGTCTCCTTTCCCTTTCCCTTTCCTTTTTCCTTTTTCCTTTATCCTTTCCCTTTCTCCTTTCTCCTTTCCCTTTACACATGGAACGCTGTGGTAACCTATAGATGGCGCAATCGACAGTTATGGTTTTCCAAAAAAAATGGACCCCAGATCTTAATACTAAGTTTAAACTAACCTAGAGGAAAACAGGTTGTGTTCAACGACGTGTGTCGGGAACCTATAGATGGCGCAAAACATCCCATCCCTCAAGTGGTCTATAGATGGCGCATTTCAAAAATTAGCGCCATCCATTTTTACCGCGGAGTACATAACTATGGAAAATCACCACTTTTAATGGGAAAATCAACTATTTCTATGGCCATCTTCAATAGCTATGTTGAATTACCAAAGGGTAGTCCCATTGCTCCCCATTCTATATTCACATCAATTAGTATTATAGATAGTGTCCTTTTTTACTATCAACAAGTAGCAGTTATCAACCATGAACTCCTTCATAGGGGAATACCTCCAAATGCGATATTATTGTGATTATCCCAAATATCATTACCATAGCTTTCCATCATTTGTCACTTCTATTACTACTGTATATATTAACAGATGTTTTTAACCACTAGGTATTCCCAATGGTATTAACAGTAGTGGTATTCCCAATGGTATCAACAGTTTCTCAACATCATTTATCCAAATGCTTGTATAGTTGGAGAAGCGACCTAATAGTTTCTTCACTATTATTGCTGTTGTCATACCACTATATTAATTAACCAAATGCCATTTTCACTATAGTGGGTATAACAATAATTATCCACTAAAAACGTTATAGAAGTTATTCCACTATGAATTATTGCATATATATATATATCATTGTTAAACCACTATATTCCAATATCATTATTGTATAGATTGTTTATTGATATATATATAATTCAAAAATTGTAATAAACAATATCATTCTATCATAATAAACTATATTATTGTGTATATATATATATATTGTTTATTACTTCCAACTGCCATTCCCAGGAGCCGTTGCTTCAGCGCACGGCTCACCAGACCCTGGATGGCGAAGTCCGCCGCCGTCACCGGGGTGCTGTCACCTCGCTGTGGACTTTAACACGACTTGTGAAGGGTGGTAACGACAAGAACTCTAAGGACTTATGGGGAGAGAGAGAGATATATATATATCTGGTTGGTGGTTGACCTACCCCTCTGAAAAATATATTAGTCAGTTGGGATGATGAAATTCCCAATATATGGAAAATTAAAAAATATTCTAAACCACCAATCAGCATATATCTATAATATATCTATAATATATATATATATAATATTAGTTGGGTTATAAGAAAGGGTTTTTAACTAATTCCTAAATATGGAGAATATAACTATATAATATATATATATATGTATGAAAATACATATGAGAATATATTATGCATATAACTACGAACTATGGGAAACATAACTACGCTGGTTCCAGAGTTTGTGGGGAATATGGCTATAATTGGATGGGTTACAAAAATTATAGACCAACTTGTAACTATTTGCACAATGGGAAAATAGCTTTTTGAAGAGGTAAATCATCGAACTAAGTGTGGATTTAATATCATTTTTCATCTGGTACAGGTATCAGCGGATGGTCAGTTGATGTACCCAAGGGCACCTAACAAACCTATCCAAAATGATGCAACGTACCCTCTGGTAATTTATCAGTTACTTGACGATGGAGAAAAAAACAAAGCAGCATGTTGAATATGTAAATCATCTATCGATGGACCATTTTCCACAGCTACGCATCAGTTTGATAAATCCAGGATGTTATAAACCGGTTCAAGGCCCTCCTCTCCAACAGAGCATGTCAAGTACAAGGCCATAGCACCCCCTATAAGGTACTGACCGGGAAAAACCGGCAATAACTGAAATCAAGGGTTGGTCATCATTAATTGAACATTGTTCATAATCCGGCAATGGTTGATCTTCAAATTTTAGCAATCGAGGCGCCGGGTTTGATGGTGGAGATCCCCGCCGTGACGTCGCAGGCTTCGATCTCCTTCCCCAGCGACGGGGGCGCAACCTTTTTGGAGCTGGACAGGGCGCGGTTGCTGTTGGAACTTCTTTTTTGGGGGTCAAACTGTAGAAACTGCCAGTAGTCTTTGATATGTTTTATATGTTTTTGGATGTTCTGATATGTTTTTGGGTGGCTGATATCTGGGTCGCTTCACAAATTGTGGTGCGCAAAGTGGCGATGGTGAAAATCGATGTTGGGATCTAAGTAGCTAACGGTTTCAGCAATATACGACTTTCTGTGCATTCAATGTCTGAATTTATTGCTGGAAATTGTGTAACAAGGAACGCAGTGAAACACATTGTTTTCCAGTTTTGAAAATTAGGGAACCCAAATAGTTTCAGAAACATTTCTTGGAAACAAATTCAAATCTGAGGCAAAGAGGTGCTGCATAGCTGTCCAAAAGCTACTTGCAGCCATATATATATATACAGTATATATAAGTATATATATGTATGTATATATATGGGAGCCCCGAAAAATCTGGACTTCTACAGCTGAGATTGTAAGTGGGTGAGAAGGGTCGCAACCTGACCGAAATGTACACCGTACACCCACTTTGTCTCTATATTTGAGGGGTGCGTCTGACCTCAGCTTTTGGTACAGAAGTAGTGGTTTGAAGCCCAAAAAGGTGATGTTTAGGATATAAAATAGATAGTCTTGGACTTTTCCAAGTTTCCAACTGAATCTGGTTCACCAAGGTTTACTTCTTTTTTGCAGTCAAGCGGCGTCCATGTCGCATGCCAAAGCTTGCACCAACCTTCAGAAAGGCTTGGAGTTGGGGAACAAGTGCTGACTTGGGAGTTGATCATGAGCAAAAGGTACAGCAACATGTTTAGAGATACCCTCTGGTAAACTAACATAGCTATGGAAAATTGCCATTTATGGTGAGTTTTCCCATTAAAAATGGTGATTTTCCATGGCTATGTTAGTTTACCAGAGGGTATTTATAAAAATGCATGAAACATTCAACTCTAGTCTCACTGGATGGCTGATAAAAAAGGGAAAATCTAGAGGAAAATCTGAAAACCATGGTTTTTACCATTAGATGCGGGTGTTTGCTGCAACTGTTCCCTGAAAACTAATCGTTTGATAGTATCTAAAGTCAACCTTTATGAGCCACATTGATGCCCAACACATTTTGGGCATCCCAACTCCTGGTTGGTGACATAGCTGGAAATACCATGTTTTGCCACTTGGAATTTGTGCAGCAGAAAAATATGAAAACCAACAATGAAGGTTTCGTTCGCTGGGAAAATCATCAATGGGGGAGTTTCCAGCAAGCCACGTTTGAGAACACCAGAGGCTTTGTTTGTCATTGGACCCCAGGCCTTCGTTCTTATTTTCCATATATGTTACATTATGTTATAGTAATCCTCAAATAGATGGAAAAGTGAATCACCATCAAATTAGTAGGGATTTACTTTTCCATCTATTTGGGGATGACTATACATATGTTCATATAATCAAATCATATCCAATCCCTGACATTCCCCTGACATCAAAACTTCTGTAGCAATGACCCTCAACTGTGGGAAAGTTCCGCGACATTTCCGAGACGGCGATCCTGGCTTCAGTGCCTTGAAGTTGATGTCTACATATGTGGGTTTCCATAAATGGAGGTACCCAAAAATGGATGGTTTATAATTCAATGGGAATTCCAGGGTCCTAAAATGGAGGTACTGTACCATATAAGGCCATATTTTCTAGGGAATAGGCCTTACATAGGCCTTATATATGGTAGGTACCTCCATTTTAGGATCCTGAAATGGCCATTGAATAATGGAAAAACCTATTATAATGGATGATTTAGGGGTACCCCCATTTCGTGTACTAGTTTCATCACCTTTTTTTGGGGGGAACTTGACAAATCCGCTCGGAACCGTTGCAACTTGGCCACGCCAGTGCTTTCTGCACCACCTGCCAGGGCTGCCTTCACTTGGGATTTCATGGTGACTTAATGGTGATTTAACGGGGATTTATGGCGATTTCATGGGGCTAAAATTGGGGCAAATCACAATTCACAAATCTGAAAAGTTTGGCCAACGATCTTCCATGTTGCGGCCGTTTGGCCATTTGGGGATAGTCACCCCTACGAAGCATCATTCCAGCAACATGGCAGTGAGGTCGCTAAAATTCACCCAGAAACTTCAAGTCGAACGCGTGCCCCCATTTCAATCCACCGCTTGAAGCAATAAAATCATTGACCTGAAATAGAATCATCCTCATCACCCATTTCACTGAAATACCCATTCTGAGATATTCTGACTAGTTATGGCATAACATATCATGACCCTTACTGGTTCCAATCCCCATGGTTTCCCGTTTCAATTCAATCCTCACAGCTGCGACCGCTTTCGGGAAAACTGACACCAGAAAACCATGGGTAAAACCCATGGTTTTTTCCCCATCAAATATGGGGTTTGTGCCATAAATCTTCTCCGATTTCCCATCAGCTGGGCCACCTCTGCAGCCGCGGCCACTTCCTCTTCCAGCTGCCCTCCAAAGGCACGGGCAGCGCGACCAGCGCCACCAGCGCGAGCACCTGGCAGGATTTTGATGGTGATTCTTAAGGATTTCACCAACAAAAATGGAGATATTCATGTGAATTACTATCCCGTAATCTGTTACATGGCTATGGAAAATGGATGAAACTTGCATATTTATACTTAGATGATTCACCTATTAAAAAGTGGTGATTTTCCATATCTATGATACCAGAGGGCATCGTTAGTTCTTATGTTTTCTTCATACCACTTCTCATTGGAGTACTTGTATGTTCTTGTTGATGAGGTACCTTGGTCAATGGCCATTTCAGGAACCTAAATTGGAGGTACCTGATCATATATAAGGCCTATATAAGGCCTATGTAAGGGAATATCCCCACAAAATATGGTCTATGGTACAGTACCCCCATTTTAGGATCCTGAAACCCCATGGACTTGCGGTTTTGATTGAATGATGATTCAGCCTGCCCATGCCTCTATATAGAATCACCTTCCTTTGCGAAGGAAAGACGTGTCTGTTGCCAGGTCAGGTGACGTCCATTTTGGCAGATTAGATTAGACCGGGAGTAGAAGAGCCTTGAAATGACTCAAAAGCTTCAAGTATATGTGTACATATATATATATATGATTATATATATATAATTATATATATGCGTGTGTGTGTGTGTGTGTCTGTGTTACATGATATGCTCTTCTTGAGTTGATGAGATATCAACCCCAACCCCCAGATTAAGAAGAAGTTCATAGTTCATTAAAATCATATTTAAACAAACTAATTCATTCACCTCATGTCACCTCAAAGCATTAAAAGAAATCATCTTTTGTAGAAGAAAAACCCTAAAATCCACTGCTTTTATCACCCCATCGAACAGTCGGAAACCTGGAACATCCTGGTGTCCAAAATCATCGAACTACCATCCTGAAAAACCCAAAAAATATCAAAAAATCATCGATTAATCATGATAAATCCCATAAAATCACCATTTTGTTTGGGTATGGCCATGATAAATCCCATAAAATCCGATAAAAATCCCATAAAAATCCTGGTTAAATCAACATCCTTTGGATTTTCATGGCCAGGATCCAGGATCCTGCGGGCCTTGGCGTGGCGCCTTGCGTGGCGACCCAAGCCCAGCGGCGACGGAAACGGCCAAGGTGGTCGCACCTCAGGGTGAAGCGACCGTTCAACTGATTTAATATGGATTCTTTGTTAAGGTTGGTGGACATACTGATTTAAATTTCTAACTGATTGGTTTGTTCCAACTGATTTAAATTTCTAACTGGTTGGTGGTTCCAACATGTTCCAACCCCTCTGAAAAATATGAAAGTCAGCTGGGATGATGAAATTCCCAATAGATGGAAAAATAAAAAATGTTCCAAGCCACCAACCAGTCTAAGGTAACCCATCAACGGACTCATACTGATTCCCAGGTTCTCGTGATTTGTTCTTTTTTCTTTCTCACTACTATAAGTATATAGTTGCTAATCAAGCCAATAATATCTTCCATGTGACCGATTTAATCCGATTTATAATAAGTCACCGATTCACTAACATGAAAAAACTGAAACATGCGGCCAGCTATGATCTATGATTATTCCCCAAAATTCAATTCCCATCATTCCAGAATTCCGTCACGATGCGTCACTATAATCCAAATGTACCCTGTGTTTACTCAATATAGCTATGCAAAATGGCCCATTTATAGATGATTTATGATGCTCTACCTACTGATACGCCCCCTGACCTAGCCCTACACAAAAGCGCACCTGCACCCGCTAAATTCCACTTGCGACGGGAGAGCTGCCTGACAAATGGGGTTGAAGTGAAGGATGCCCCCATTTTATTAGCCAATTAAAGAACTCAAAGTTGACCATAGGATTTAGAAGGTTCCGAATTTGAACACGCCCCGAAATGCACCAGTGACTGCCGAACTTGTCTTGTGGTACTTGGTTGAAATATATGAAATGCTTGAAGTGCACAATCCACGCCTGTCCAAAGATACCATAACGTCCGTTTTTTTTGCTTCACGTTGGAGGTTGGGGTCGAAAAGGAAGGGAGGTCATACCACGTCCCATCTCGAATCTGGTGAAGCCAAGATGGTCAAGAATTGCGACGAAAATGGGGAAGGCCCATTACCCAAATTGAATCAAATTGATAAAATCATATAAAATCAATTCCAAAAAATATGGCAATCGTTTCATTTAGATACTTTTAGTATGTTTTAGTCCTCTCCAGTCAATTAACATAGACACTGGTAGATAAGGGTTGGAAGATCAGTTTCCTCTAACAATTGGTGATTTTCAGGGTCCAACTGTTAATTTACCAGAGGGTATATCCCATTCATATCCCATTGAATCACTATAAAATCCCATTAAATCACTATAAAATCCCATTAAATCACTATAAAATCCCATTAAATCACTATAAAATCCCATTAAATCACCATAAAATCCCATTAAATCACTATAAAATCCCATTAAATCACTATAAAATCCCATTAAATCACTATAAAATCCCATTAAATCACCATAAAATCCCATTAAATCACCATAAAATCCCATTAAATCACTATAAAATCCCATTTAAATCACTATAAAATCCCATTAAATCACTATAAAATCACATTAAATCACTATAAAATCCCATTAAATCACTATAAAATCCCATTAAATCACTATAAAATCCCATTTAAATCACTATAAAATCCCATTTAATCACTATAAAATCCCATTAAATCACTATAAAATCCCATTAAATCACTATAAAATCCCATTAAATCACTATAAAATCCCATTAAATCACTATAAAATCCCATTAAATCACTATAAAATCCTATTAAATCACTATAAAATCCTATTAAATCACTATAAAATCCCATTAAATCACTATAAAATCCCATTAAATCACTATAAAATCCAATTAAATCACTATAAAATCCCATTAAATCACTATAAAATCCCATTGAATCACTATAAAATCCCATTAAATCACTGTAAAATCCCATTGAATCACTATAAAATCCCATTAAATCACTATAAAATCCCATTCAATCACTATAAAATCCCATTAAATCACTATAAAATCCCATTAAATCACCATAAAATCCCATTAAATCACTATAAAATCACATTAAATCACTATAAAATTCAATTAAATCACTATAAAATCCCATTAAATCACTATAAAATCCCATTAAATCACTATAAAATCCCACTAAATCACTATAAAACCCCATTAAATCACTATAAAATCCCATTAAATCACCTATAAAATATCATTGAATCACTATAAAATCCCATTAAATCACTATAAAATCCCATTAAATCACTACAAAATCCCATTCAATCACTATAAAATCCCATTAAATCACTATAAAATCCCATTGAATCACTATAAAATCCAATTAAATCATTATAAAATCCCATTAAATCACTATAAAATCCCATTCAATCACCTATAAAATATCATTGAATCACTATAAAATCCAATTAAATCACTATAAAATCCCACTAAATCACTATAAAATCCCATTCAATCACTATAAAATCCCATTAAATCACTATAAAATCCCATTAAATCACTATAAAATCCCATTAAATCACTATAAAATCCCATTAAATCACTATAAAATCCCATTAAATCACTATAAAATCCCATTAAATCCATTAAATCACTATAAAATCCCATTAAATCACTATAAAATCCCATTAAATCACTATAAAATCCCATTAAATCACTATAAAACCCCATTAAATCACTATAAAATCCCATTAAATCACCAAATGAAATGTCCTTTACAAAAAGCCGCTCCAACATTCCACACATCGTTTTTTCAGAGCCCACATGGCCTCGGCACACGAAAGTTCCGAAAGTTCCTGTGCCCCGACACTGGGTGCGCCAACCTGGCCATGATAAAATGGAGGAGTACAACGCAGTCTTAGGACGTTTTTAGGGGGTTGGAAGACCCATGATTTTGGGCGATTTTAGATGAAGTAGAAGAGTTAGATTCTTGAAACCTAACATGGAACCCAATTTTATCGCTGGTTCCGATAGGAAAATAGGTGTCCAAACACATGGGTATGGGTCAAAATTAGGTACCCCAATAATTGGATGGTGAATACTAAACTAGACTAACATCTGTGGTCCCCTAGGTCTTCCATTTTGACCCACATCCACATGTGCGAGGTTCTACCTTAAATTTCACGAGGGGGTGATGTGATTTTTAAACCAATCTTCCACTTTTCAAGATCCAAATCAGATCCTGAAGATGAACATCAAAGGCTTCCACAATCTAACTTGGCCTCAAGCTGGCAGCAGCTGCAATCGCGAAGTCGGTTTCCATGGCCCACTGATTGAGTATGAAGACTCGCTTTCTGGGTGTGGTCGATACCTGCTGGTTTCAATCTATGACTTGGCCCATTGGGAAGCATGTTGGTGATGACCTATCCAATTTCTTGTAGGAAAACCATTATGTTTTGCTTGGTAAGCCGCCCAATTCAAATTTGATTAGTCTACCCAGTTTTCCTCCCAGATAATTACCAGTTTGGGTGCGCAAACTCTCCAAGATTCTCTGCTGTGCATTCTTCGGAGCTGCCATACTTTTATGATGCTTCAATGATCCTCCGTAGGAATGCCGGCGATTCTTCATTACACCACAGAAAGCATCAGCACCACAACTATACCACGATGCTATACCGCGATGCACTGAGGAAAAGGAAAAAACATGTGTAGGGGAAATGATTTGTAAACTGTAAAATCCGCAATTGGATGCACTTGGATTTTTGCATTGCCATGTCCGATTAAAAAAACACATGCGTTTATCAATGTTTGCCGCTTGACGTGGCACAAAATCACAATTTCTTCCGTTGTCCGGTTTGACTTGCTAATCCCTCATTTCTGCGAGAACATAGCCAAGGCAAAGCTTCTCAAGAAACTCGGTCTCATCCATCATATTTATAATTTTATAGTGCATATATATATATTGATATATTGATATTGATATTTATATTTAAATGTTAAACTTATATACACATATTTAAGCCAATTGTTGCAAGTTTCAATCCTGTCTTTGTTGCCTTGATCATGATCCATCTTGATCTTCATTTCTTGGAGGTTTTCTTCATCTTTCAGCCCTTCAAAAAAAATGCTGCCTTTCCGCTCGCCCTTGGCGGCTTGGAGATCTTTGGCTCGGCCTGAGCGATTCAGCTCCTGGTATGTCAAGCGGGATGTGTTGATGGGAAAACGTATGGGAAAACGTATGGGAAACCGTTTTTTTTTACCCCCTAAACATCAAGGTTTCCCGATATAAACAATTCATATTCGAATATAAGTTTGTTGAAAAATGTGGAATAACTGCAACAATTGTTACTCAATGATGATCTTTACAGTAATGTTGATATATTGATGTTTGTTTTTGTGTATTTGCAACTTCTCCGGACTTGTTTTCCATTTTTCGGCATTTCTATCCACGAATGCATTTATTTATATTTATTTATAATATATTTATCTATTGAATTGTATGTTTCCCCCCTGACACCTAGCTCCCACTTCACCCAAGCAGGGAGAGCGAGGTGCAAAAACAACCCAAAAGGGTTTGTCCAAAAGTGGCGCTATCACCGAAAACCCAATGGTTAAAACATCATGTTTAACCCATTTAAATAGCAATAAATTGGAATAAATATAAATCATACTGAATCCAAAGAAGAAAAACCTCATTTTCATTCTCTACAATTCCACTACAATCTGATACTGACCATTTTATCAATTTTTAACCCATGGAAAATGACTCATGAAAGTAGATGAGTCGCCATGAGCTGCCAATGAATTCCATGGGCATTCATCATGTTCCGGCAGTTCCTCAGTCTCCCGGCGCGCCAAGACCAGTTGCCGCTCAGATTCGGACAGCGATCTACGAGGCGGAGCTGATCAGCTGATCTACCAGCTGATGTGCGGGCCCCACTTAAGATCCGTGCTTTATCCATATATTATCCCTATGAATCATCCCATATATATATATATATATATAGAGGGGGATAGATTGGGATGATTGGGAGTATTCGATTTATAACTGGGGATAAACATGCTATTTGCTAAGCAGGGCCCGCACCCCCGAAGTACTTGGATGGGCCATAGGATTAGCGATTCCTGGTTAGCAAGTGGGTTAATAAACACCATGAAAAATATATCAAAATATAATCCATTTACTAACCGTAGTTAACTAACTCTGTGGCCCATGCAAGCGCCCTCTAGCTAGTAAACAAACAGTTTGCGAACTGAAAGGCGTTGCCCAATTAGTTCGATTATATATTTACTTATATCCTATTATGTATATATATATATATATATTCTGATGGTGTTTGCCATAGCCTAGCTATATGTTAAATTGCCGGAGCGGATATATGTCTGATTCAAAAACCTCACAGAAGAGCGGAGAAGATGCAACTGGACCCATCACAGCGGCCCGGGAGCTACCATCGACACATGGCTAAAAATTGCTAGATTTAGCTTCTGGCAATCAAACATCGCACTCGAAAATCCACCATTTATAGATGATTTATATTTCCGAAGATTGTCCCATTATTTTCCCCATCAAAACCTCCATTTATAGAGGCTTTCCCAGCCACGTTTGAGGACACCAGAAGTTGGTCTGGTCAACCCACCCGCCAGCCGCCTCAATGCAAGGACCTCAGTGGTCAGTGCTTGTACTGAGACCCTGCCATGGGGTTGGAAGATGAACTATTCAGACTATGGTGGATGATGATGGATGATGATGAACTCTCTCTCTCTCCATCTCCCTCTCCCAGTCACGGACTGAAGGCGAGCCAACGGCCCAGCCCCCCAGAAACAGTGTGTCAGCCAGCGAGCTCTGTGGCAAGCTGCGTCATATCACTGCACCAGGCAGCGGGCAAAGCTGAAACTTCAGAAACAATAAAAAAAGGGTGCTTAAAAGGTTCAAAATTCAAAGGCGTGGCGTTCACTAGATGTTGGGCGGTGTCATTGTGTTCTTCACTGGGCGCTTGGAAAAGCAAGACTCGAATATGAAAGGTGCCGTGGATGTACCCAGGCAGTGGCCAAAATGCCCTTGAGGACGCTGCGCAAACAATCCCCGGGAAAGGAATGTTTTCTCCAGCCAGGCACATGATCATTCTCAAGCAACATTGTACCCCAGCAACGGTCACATGGCAAAGAAACACGTTGCCCATGATAAGCTCCCTGAAGACAGCGTCTGGCCCACATGTGTTTATCACAAGCAATGGCGAAGACATTCGTTCGAGAGACTGGCCCACAAAACCCATTGTGGCGGAGCCAGGGTTCTTCGGGGTTCCTCCATTGTTGCCTGTCTGTGGCTCTCTCCACTGGAATGTTTCTATGTTGTAGGTATCCGAGGGTCGACCGATGTCCGCTATTGTTGGGTCCGGTACGGAGCCGCCTCTGGTGCCGAGCTGGCTGCAAACCAAGAAGGACAGACCGCGCTAAGGAAGACTCAGGCTGACGAAGAACATGACCGAACCACTGCCAAACCATCCGGACAAGCAAGGAATCCCAAAGCTCAGTGTAGGAGCGCCCCCAAAGTTTCACACCATGCCTTAAGACCTGGAGGCACTCCACAGTGAGCCAAGAGTGATGGGCACGACCACCTAACAACCAAGTCAACAGGGTAACGCAATGCACCCGAAGGCGACGGAGAGTGCCCTGCTTGACAGACAGAACGCACAAGGACCACCGCAAGGACGCAGTCACGAGAGATTGAAAGAGACCGAGCTTCTAGCGCCGCGTGGCGCAACGGCAAGTAAGGAGCACGCGGTTGGAGAAGAATGCAGCAATAGCACGGGCACAGACTTGGTCAACCATGGGCTCATGATCCTCAACAAGCTGCAGAGGCAAGCCAAGGTACTTGGACTGCGCAACGAGAGGAAAAGGCGCCAAACAGCCAGGCAACGCCGCAAGAGACGGGGGTAACCCCACCACACAAGACTTGGAAACATTAGTGCTCAAACCCACGGTGGCAAGTAAAGAAATCACTTCAGGCAGCCAGCGAACAGCCTGGGACAAGCATGGACAAGCTGCGAAAAAGAAGGATGGAATCATCGATGAACCAGAGCCCCCAGAGAAAACACAGACCAGCCACAAAAGCAGGGCATTCCCCGCTAGCAGTCCAAGCGGCTGCGAGCTGTTCAAAGCGCGCTATTCTGATGTTATTTTCTGAACTATGTTCTAAAGATGGATGATGGTCCATGATGATGGCTGGATTAACTGTTTTTTCTTCTAAAGATGAGTGATGATGGATGATGATGGATGGTTTTAAGGGTCTGAGTTGGTAAGTATGTCTAACTTGGTTACTCCAAACTGTCGGTCCAACAAGGAGCCTGTATAACCTGTATAGATACACAGGCTCCAGGTCTTCTCTCTTACCAAAGGGCCATAAATCAGCAGCAAGTGGTGTTTCAATTCCATTCAATTCCTGTTTATCTCCACTCCAGTTCCAGTATACACTCCAGTGATAAAATCTGACCTGGCGACGGATATTCCAGCCCCAAAAACATGTGCTTGCATTTCCTTATAGGGTTGAACATTGCCGGATATTGCCGGCTTAATTTGCGGAGGTTGGTAGATGAAATCATTTCACTCATCAGTGGCTAGCTTCAGCATCTGCTCTTCACCAGCCTCGTAGGTCTCTGCCAATTCTTTCCGCAGTTCCACGAGCACTCGCCTGGCTCACGCAAATCATCACGTGACAGACCGTGGCGGTGGCGAAGCGTTGGGGTTCTGAAACCACGAATTGGTTCAACTGTTGATTTACAAGCCAAATTCAGGGATTTCCTGCACAAATTCCTTCAATTCATGGATCAAAAGCGAGGCCAGGAAGCATCAGCGGACCAAATCATCAGTACCAGAAGGGTCATTGAATCAAATCATAAGACTCATTCCTCCGACGGCACCGAATCCTCTCTAAGTGAGCTGAGCCCGAGGTATTTCCCAGCCAGTCCCACCATCCTCTGACTGGCAAAGATCTGCGTGGAGTTCCTGGTCCAACTGGGCTGAGTTGTTGAGGTGCTAGCCCTCAAAAATATCACCTTTGTTGGAGGGTCGATATATCATGATGTACCCACTGCTCAGAAACGAAGGCTTGATGATCTGTTCATATCTGTTCAATATCTCAAGGACAAGCTAAAACAAATATCTACACATTCTTGAAAAAATGTATAGACCTAGGTGGGGTGGGAAAATGGCCAGCGGGTGTGGCAGCTGGGTTCATCCTATGCACTTCAAACAGAACTTCAAAACATGAGAAAACACAGAATTGGAGGAGCATTTGAAGGTTTCGAAAGGTTTCGCGGCATCAACTGAATCCTCATATCATCATTCATGACCAATAATGGCCAAAAGGCAAGTCTGCATATCTGAGCACCAAACGGCCGGCCAAAGGTGACATTCTCTCCTGACAGCTGTGACAGGTTTATATTGGCAGGAGGTCATGTAGCAACAAGTTCAGGTGGAAAGAAAAACCATACCCGTCAGAATGCCTGATGCCTAAGACTACCTAGACAAAGAAGTGGAGTCAAACCATAGGAATAAAGGCACATGGAGGCCCAAAGTCCAAGCATACAGCTTATTTCGGCGCGCGTCTTTAAAAGGAAAAAGTCAACAAAACAGGTGGCCAGTGCCAAAGAAGAAACACCACTCCCTCGGAAATGGATAAACATATATTGTCTTTTCATCTGTTTCATTCAGTTTTCATATTTACAGTAATGTGAATAAAACAACAATAAACCATCCCCCAAATCACCATTTTTATGTGGCATGGTTACCGTTCCCAGTCATGGCTAGTTTATGACATTGTTTTTCTCACATCATATTTCATTTATGTTTGATCTACCCGGACCTACCCTCTGGTATGGAAAATCACTATGTTTGTAGGTAAATCATCTATAAATGGCCCATTTTCCATAGCAAACTGTTAGTTCACTGCAGGGTATGTTTCACTCCGTTCCTGTGTTTTCCCCCGAAAAATCGCCTCCTGGAGGCCCTTCTCTTCCTTCGCGCGCGCGGCGGTTCGACAGGGCCAGCCGTTCCTCAGTCCCCAGTTCCATCCTTAAAACTTTGGTCATGTGGTGGGAAATCCAATCATAAACCAGCCCCAAAATCAGGATAAAGTGGCAGAAACCATCCCCAGTCATGGATGTCATGGTAGGTTTATGATTGGTTTTACCACACTGATAGTGGTTCGAAACTTGACTCCTGTCAAGTGGCCCAGAATTCAGTGCCATTGGACATCATTGGACGAAGGCCGCAGGAAATTTCAGGAGTCCAAAAATCCAGAACTCGTGAGAGCAACGAGTTCTGGTTTGAGACAACAGCTTCAAAAAAGATAACTATGCGTAATTCATGGGTAAAAACAACCCCAATATCATTGCCAATTCCTCAGAATTCCTCCTACACAGTGCCGGACAGCTCACCCATATTTACCCATTGACTTCCCAGCTTCTGCCGGAGACAGTTTCTTCTCCAAGTGCCGCCGTGGTCCTGCCCCAGATCTCTAAGAATTGCAGGCGTAACCCACAACATGTTCAAACCCTGGGAACCGG